ACGGCTCAGAACCCCGCGGCCGGGTGCTCGGGGGTGGGAGCCCCTCTCTTGTACCGCCCCTCCTCCTCCCCGAGGGGTTGGGAGACAGGAGAGCGCGATTGGGACCTCGGCTTCCCCTCCCACCTCATCAGATGCAGGTCCCTGCCTACACACCCCTCCCGCCAGGACGTGGGGAGAGGCCGAGCCGGCGCCCTGAGGCGCGCGCCCCTCCGGGTCCGACGGGCAAGACCTCGCACCGGAGGCTTCCAGAGTCGCTGCGAGGCGAGGACCGTCGGGACAAACTCGGATTTAGACACCTCCGGCGGGAATATCTGGGTTCACGGGGTTTGTTGGGTGAGCCACGGAGCAGCTCAGGTGCCGGGAAAGGAACGGGGACCGAGCACCTGGAACCCCTGGACTGCAGTGAGGAGCGGCCGGTCGCACACCTGCGGGCCACCGTCGGGGACTCGCACGCCAGGGGCTGGGTGGAGGCTTAAGGACCTGGACTTTTGGGGTGCGTTCTGAAATGACCCTGCGAGGGACAACTGTGCGGTGAGAACTTCCGGAGTCAAATCTTTGGCGCAAAATTCACCTCCTGAATACAATTGGGATGAAATCAAGGACTGGCATCCCGAGCTTTTTGGAAGGAGGGTTGGAGGAGGGGGCGAATAAAAAACGGAGAAGGAGAGGGAGGGGCGCTTTACCTCCTGACCGGACGGGGAGAGAAGCTAGGCTCCGCAAACACCAGGCACTGGGTGCCAGTCCTGGAGCCGGGTCTGGCTCTCCGCTCCCTTGCCGGGGGAAAGGGGAATGAATCCTGGTCTCAAAACCGGCCTTTAAAAAAAAAGTATATAATTTATTTCAGAGAGGAAGGGAGAGGGGGAGAGAGATAGAAACGCCTATGATAAGAATCATTGATCGGCTGCTTCCTGCACGCCCCCTACTGGAAATCGAGCCCGCTACCCGGGCACGTGCCCTTGACCGGAATGGAACTTGGGACCCTTCAGTCCGCAGGCCGTCGCTCTAGCCACTGAGCAAAACCAGTTAGGGCAAAACTGGCCTCTTTTAAGCAAAGAGAATAAGACAATCCGGCGCCCAAGCTTTCCACTGGGGAACAGCCGGCTGGAACTCGTCTCCCAGGCGGTGCCCTGGTCGGGGAGGCTTAGGGCGTTGGGGCATCTGTTTGCTATTTAGCGACGCTCCTGGGAGAGTCCCGGCCCGTGAGCCTGCACGCGCTCTGCAGTGAATTGGGAATGGTTGCAAGTACTCAGGAGGCGCGGCGGAAGAGGAAGGAGAGGGCGGTTAAAGATCCTGTTGTTGGCTCAAGATTTATTTGAGTGCATCCTGTCGTTAGACTCCTTCAGTTATTTCAGATCGAAGAGAATTTGTCTGTTACAGCCATAAAACTTAAAACGGTTTTCATTTTTCTTCTTTGAACTGTATCTCCCTTCCAATGAGAAAACCCTCCCTCCTGAGGTCAACAGGTTAAACCCAGGTGATTCTCCAGAGAAATGTAATCTTCCCGGCTCTGGGAACCGAAAGTTATCACATTAACAACACCACACACACACACACACACACACACACACACACACACACCCAAGAAGGGAGACTTGACAAGTTCACACAGATGGCTGTGCTGTAACCTGTGACTAGTCTCCTGATTCCAAGTTTGATTTCCTTTCTTCAGAAACAAAACAATTATATTTCAAAATAACTATGACCACCTGCATCACTCTCAGAAGATCCTGGGTAGAGACCTTCTCTTTCTGCAAAACCTGCCCAAAGTCATCTGCCAGATTGTGAGTTACTGGGCTATCAGGCGCCCCTGGGTTTAGGCCATTGTCAGATGGGATTGTTAGATGCAGTGCTAATTAATTTTTGTCCTTACAACCTCCTGGACATTTTTTTTTAAAGAACCTTGAAGGATTCCAGACTCCCATATAAAGGTTTTTTTGTTTGTTTGTTTGCCTTTAAAAAAAAGGCGGGGGGGGGGCGGGGAGACAGTGCTAAACAAAATAATTCATATTAGATGTGTGGCTCCCCTCAATTTTATATAAGAAATTATTGAAAAGTGAGTACATGGACACTAGTATTTAACTCTATTTCTCTAATATCATTAAAGAAATAAAGATTGGCTACCACACAAAAAGCTTCATAGTAATAAAATCATTCCAAATGATTAAGCAATTTAAATATCTTACCAAGAGGGAAAATATTTCTGATAAATCATTAATTTCACTCAAAAGAAGTTACAAAATAAATGCTGGCTGAGTTGTGCTTATGTTAATAATAAAAAAGAACTGGAAAATACTATTATATAAAACATTTAACATCTCAACCAAAGAGTAGTTCTGGGACAGATCAGTTGGCAGAAAAACACCGACCAAAAAGTTTTAAAAAATCTTTTTAATGAGTTACTCAGAAAACCTACTTCCTTTTCCTATCAGCTAAAGTGGTGATTATCAACAGGAGAGCTGTTGGTGGTCTCCTCCCCCTGGACATTTGACAATGTTTGGAGACATTTTTGGTTGTCACAACTTTGGGGGGTTGCTACTGGGTATAGGTCAAGGTTACTGCTAAACATCCTACCATGCACAGGTCACCCATAACAAAGAAATATCCTGCCCAAAATGTGATCAGTGCTGCTATTTATAAATCCTAAGCTAAAGCAATTATTCAAGACTTTTATATGCTACCCAAGTGAAACTTCACCTTAGTATCTTATGTCACTATTTACTTTGCTGTTTATGTTTATGCTTTGGCATGTCTACTATTTTTACATCTTTATTTCTTGCTCCTGATTCTGAGGGTAAAACCAGCATGATTTCCTGGCACAGTAGATATAGGATGTAAAAGAAAAAGAGACTTCAAAGATGATTACAAGGTTGGACTGAGTAATTGCAAGGTTGAAATTCCCACCAACTGTGAAATGGAAGATTACTGGGTGAAGAAAGCTTGGAGAGGGGTCATCAGTATGTGGCTTCTGGTCAAGTTGAGTTTGAAATGCTGAGCCAATCACTTGGTTATCTGCTGTCGCATTTATTCCACACCTTCTGCCTCTTATGTATCTCAGTAGGCAGTTACCAGACTTCTTTGCCTCTGGTTTCAGGATGCTTTTCACCAATGGGAGTCACAGGAAAAATACTGGGAGGCAAGAAGAGAGCCGGGGAAGAGGGGTTACAGGGCTGGGTGAAAAAAGTGAAGAAATTAAGCAAAACATGAGAGAGAGGAAAGAGAGAGGACTGTCTGTGATGACAACAGTTTGGTGATTATCTGAGGAAAGGGGTGGGGAGAAGTAGAAGAGGGTAAAGGGAGAATAAATGGTGATGGAAGGAGACTTGGGGTAATGAACACATAATGCAATATACAGATGATGTATTATAAAATTGTACACCTGAAACCTATATAATTTTATTAATCCATGTCACACTAATAAACTCAATAAAAATTTAAAAATAAAAGTAATAATTTAAAATTTTAAACAGTGATTCAGTTACAAAAGGAAGAAGAGCTCTGCTATAAATACTCTTGTATATATGTCTTCTGGAACACATATTGGCTGAATAGTTACCTAGGAATTAAATTATTAAACCATAGAATATGTGTGTTTTTTCAACTTAAGTAGATGATGCAAAGCTATTGGGAGTACCAATTTGCACTCCTTCCAGCAGTGTATGAATTCCCACTGCTCCATAAATTTGCCAATATTCAACATTGTCAATATTTTGAACTTGAGACATTTTGGTATGTTTGGGGTTTTAATTTTCACTTTCTTGGTTTATAATGAAGCTAAGGGCCTTTTCACATAATCATCAGGTCTTTGGATTTCTTCATTTGTGAAGGGCTTATTCAAGGGTTTTGTACATTTTTCTACTGGTTGTCTGTGGGTGTTTTGTTCGTTTGTTTTTGCTTATATATTTCCTAGATATGAGTCCTTTGTTAAATATACATGTTGGGAATACCTTTTCTGATATTAAAGCAGGATTTGAAGAAAGAATAGGAGTAGCCTTCCAGGGAGAGAAAATTTCCCTTTAAATAGATATTTTTTGAAATTCCAAACTGTAGCCTTCTCTTCTAGAGCTTGGTTAGGGAGGCTGTCTCTTGACTATTTTTTTTTTCTGTCTTTTACTAATACCAATAAACTTTTAGAGTTGATACTTGTCCTTTATGGTGCTCAGGTTTAAGGTTTGGCTGATTGTATGTGGTGGCCATGAAAATACATCATTCAGATCTCCTCCTGGAGTGAGTATAATTGACTGACAACCCCGATGCTGCTCTGAGTCCCCCACCCTGTTCACACCGAGGCCATGCATCCCTTGGGCTGCTCCCAGACAATGAATGACTGAGCATGGCAAGGATCTTAATGAAGGTCCTGGGAAAGAATTACACTGATAGGCAACTTTGGCCGGAAGGCTTCCCATTGGCCCAGAAACTTTCTTAACATTGCACTGCAGTCTGAGACTTCTTATCCAGGTCTCCTTTCTTTCCTCCCTCCTACATAGTGGCCAGATCACCATCACAAGCTAATAACTCTCCCTAAGTCCTCTGGATCTCTGCCCTTTTCCTCTCACCATCATTTCTCCCCAGTACATCCTTTCCACATCTAATCTCATCTTAGAGTTGCTTTCTGGAACACCCAAACTAACACACTCTAGAAAAAGTTCTGTTTAAAGTTCAGTTACACTTCTATCATTTTTTTTCTTTTCCTCACAATTCA